ATGCAGACCCCTGAAGTGACCAGACCTGCGTTATGCAGCTACATGGTAATAATCCACAAAGCTTGGACAAAGCTGCTGTAACCAATTGACTTAAAATTACAGGGGAATCTCTAGTGTTGACTGTGTAGTACCTCTCGTGCCGTTATCTTACACTTCTCGACGAGGTTTCAGCACATTAAGTTTTATGTATCTTCAGCCTTGTCCCTTAACAAAGCAAAGTTTTGGCCTTCTTCTAAAGAGCATCTATGCTTTATATAAAGAATTCTTGTATTCAACATCTCATTCTTTCGTGAATATGTAAAGTCATGAAGATTTTCTACATGTATTTAGAGGATCCTCACTTCTGTTCTTCAGTGTTCAATTCTGGGCACTGTCAGGTCAATCTGGTTCAGGGACATACGAGTATCTCCTTGCCCCATTTCAAAAGGTGTAGGAAAGCTGGAAACCTAAATCTTACAGCTCTTCAGATATTTTTGCTTTGAACCTAAAGCTTAAACAGCATATTCAACAATATAAATCTGAATAGTTCTTCATTTTTATTACAGTTTGATCTGAATTTCTGTATGTAAAGATTCAAACTGTTCATACTGTTGTATCATGTTACCATTTGTATTTTTAAACCACGTTAGCTTCACATATGGATGCAAAATGCGGCTTGAATTTGCTCTACTGATTTTGAACTTTGATCTGGTTTTATGTTTCATAGCTGCAGAAGCTCTCTGAATGTATTTGTGAACGTTGCTCTCATTTGGTGAAGTTGATTGAAGAGGACCTTTTCTTTGTTGTTAGGAAATATTAATAACAGGAGTTTTTAGTTATGGATCTTACCAATGTATGATTTAAAATATTTGCTGGGTTTTTAAAATAATGAACAGATGTCAGTGCCTTTTAGCCCGAACAAATTGAAATGTATACACGAGGAGCATTCCCCAGTTCTGTTAATTCTTAAGTACATGTGAAAGAAAACAAATATGCGTGGTTTTGGGGTATGTCAAGATCTTGATGAATACATCTAGCAACGAAAGCACTGTTACAGATTTGTGACTCTAAGTGGGTGCCTGGTAGTTCCTATATGCATATGGAATGTTTGCATATACTTTAGAGCCTTTCTGAAAAGTTTAAGCTACATATTTTTCCAGTTATTACCTTGAATTTAGTAGTCAATAATGACTTATAAAATGCATGATTGTTAGTTTGAGTTCTCTGTTTCGGCACTGTAGTGTAGCTGTTTGGTTTTGGTTGGGTTGTTTTAGTGCGTGTACAAGACTTAATCTTCTCTTGTTAGGTTAGATCTTGAGTTGCAAATTAGAGAAGACAGTGCCTGTAACAGCTCTGCTGCTGGTCATGTTTGTCTGTAGTGACAGCTAGAAACTTGAGATTTGTTGAATCCCTGTGTTTACAGGCAGTGGTTTGGCTTTGCGTAAATAGCTGGTTCTCTAAATCGCTCCTTAATGAAATTTGAATCCTCCGATTAAAATGGAAACTGCACTTCTAAAGTGCCTTTATTAGTTAAAGTCTAAGAGTGTTGTTTCTGGATCAGCATACTGTGTCACTAACAGAATAAAATTAAAGTGGAGAGAAGTAATGCCAGTTGAAAACCTGAGCTATTTCAGTATAGGAAAAGGTGTCTCTTGTTTTAAATCACAAGGATTGTGAGAAGTGACTTCAGAGCAGTAGTAAGATACACTGCAGTGCTTTTCTTTGATTTCAGGGCCAAGAGTCGACCTATAAGTCTGGCTGAATTTACGTGTCAGGTCCATGGTAAATTGAGTTGAAATATTTACTGGATGTTGTAAATGGAAAAACATATCATAGCAGTTGAGAAGTGCAGATTTTTAACCCTTCAAATTATGTGTAAGGCTTAATCACACTAAGTACACCAATTCTACACTTGAGTTAAGCTTAGCTCCAATTTAAATATTGATTTTTTTTTTTTTTTTTAAAGTAGTTGCCTTGACTAATGTATTTTAAGCAGAAATGTTTCCAGTGTTACTCCTTAAGGTAAACTCACAGATCTGCTTATGTCTATTGTCAAAATGTGCATGTTTCGAATAAGGAATTGAGTTACTTACAGACTGTGATTTAACACACATCTTTTAACGTACGAAGTACTTGCATGTAGTCATTAAAGTTCCTACAGCACAGTTTCTATCAGCCTAGAATTGGAAAAAGTTGTTTGTCCTTAGTACAGTAAAAGTTCAGACATCAAAAGGAGTATATTGAATTAAATGAGGAAAATGAACTAACGTTACTGCCTGTCTTGTTTTCTGTTTGAAATCGTGATGATAAATCAGATGAAAAACTGAGCTGGTTCTGTAAAAATCACATAATAATTTTAAATCATTTGGGACTGTGTGGACTCCTGCAAGAGAAATCAGTTGACCAACAAAAGCTCTTCTGAGTGCTTAAGTTTCAACTTGGGAGGTTTTTAGTAGTCATGAAAAACAAAAGTATGCAGGGAATTGAATCAGGGTACAATAAATAAGGTGTAGAGCTAATATTTTTCCTTTCGTTTCCAGTTTAGTTAGGACCCTTTATATTATGTTCATACATCATCTCCAGGCAGTCTCTAAAGATTTTATGAGCCAGTTAGCTCAGCTGATGTCCATAGACTAGGACAATATGGAAACTTTTGTAAAATTGAAAGCTAAGGGAACATCGGATTAGCACCTAACTAAATTAAACTGTGAGTTTACAGACTAATCAATAAACCTTTTTATTTTTTTTCTCTTTCAAGTATATTGAACTTACTGTGAACTCGGTTGCAACTCTTATATTCTTTCAGGTATTAATTTCTAGCACAGTGTTAGCTGCAGATTTTCTGGCAAAAAACTCAGTTTCAATTTCAATTGTTGATTGTTTTATAGAAGACCATAATAAATGCCCACGGGTTTAATAAAATTGCTTTGTGTTCCTGCTTTTGAAGGGATGATGCCAAGTGGTATGGATTTTCATGTCTTTCAAATATTTCTGTATTTCTTGCAGGAACTAAGTGATCTGCAGCGAGATCCACCAGCCCACTGTTCTGCTGGACCTGTTGGAGATGACTGTAAGCTCTTCCTAGTGCATTCAGTACATTTCAGTTCTAAAAAGGCTTAGAAAATATCTAATTGTTGTATCTTTTTGCCTTTCAGTGTTTCATTGGCAAGCAACTATTATGGGACCTGTAAGTATAAGAATCATGCCCCTTAAAATGTAAGACCTTGCTTCTCTTTTTGTTACAGAAGGACTCATTTGGGTTTCTGTAAACACAACAGCCACATGCAGCTGTGCAGTGTATAGCTTAAAACTTTCGGGTTTTATTGTCGTTCTTAGTAGTCTGTACTAGTTGCTTTCTGTAATTCCTCAAAAATCTCTCTTCTTCATGAAGTTAGAGGTGCTTAATTAGCCAGCTGTGGTGTCTGAGTTGGTGATGTGGGCTACAAAGCAAAGAGCTTGCTTTTTGTAGATGGTCAGATCAATTCTGGAAGATTCATCCATCTGAAAGGAGGAAGAGCAGGTGAAATCTAATATTTAAGTTTGTAACTGTAAACAAGAGTGGAGTTGCAGGGAGCTTTCAGATGGAGCTTATTTGATAGCTGTGATGTGACTCTGGCAAAAGCATATGGCTTTTGCAAACTGCAGGGCAGCAGTGGGGTGCTTTTGTTGGTTTTTGTGCAAGGAAGGAGCTTTCCTTGAGTTGAAGAAATTATGACTCTTGTGAAGGTAATGACATAAGAAATAACAAAAAAGCTTAAAACCAGAAGGTTTTGAAGGAAAACTGAGAAGAATTTTAGCAAGAAAAATAATAAAGAACAACATGAACTGAGGGAAGGTGTGCTTGTTAATATCCTGGTAAAAAGTTGTATTTCTAGTGTTTTCCTTTTGGATTTAATAATTTGAAAAGAAGAGTCTCTAGTTTGGAGAGTGAGCAGAGTCACTGTATGAGATGAAATTTTGAGATAATACTTAACCCATTAAGATGCAGCATTAAATCGTAGAGAAGTAGAAATGAATCTCAAATTCTCAAATTTAAGAGTAATTTTCAGCACAGTTATTCTGAAGCAGCAGTCTCTAATTTACTGGTGGTGTGCTGGAGTCTGTTGTCCAACATGTCCATGGCAACTGTTTTCTGTAGTACACTAATGTTTTTGCCCTTTTGCTTGAACAACAAGCATGTTAGTATGTTCTTCCACATACCAAGGCCTTCTGACTCTTGCCCTCTTGCACTACCAAAGGGTGAATGGCAAAGTGGTGATGAAGAGTTAACAAAAGTGCTGGTTATGTAGTGATTGCCACCAATAATGTGTCTGTCCTGAATGACTCTGATGACATGAGTAAAGGAAATATTACAACATAAATTTTGGCTTAAATTCCATTTTCTTCTCCAGCTTGCAGTTCAACTTTCATATTCTATAGTGGAATATATTATTTTCTTTGCTTTAAGTTCCTCAAATGTCTCTAGTTAAGGATAAGAATGAGATCTCTTGCCAACCTTTTTTAGCCATATCTGAAGAGATATAGGAACAGAACACTTCAGATATTAATCCTTTGTCTTGATAACAAAAGAATTCAGGGATTAAATTTCTGTGTGTTTCCTGATGGCCCGAGGGAAGCATAGGACTAAAACCTACTTTCAGAATTCACTTTCTACGTGTGGAAGTAGGGTAACCTCTTCTGTCTATGGATATCATCAATTTGTTTTATATACCTTGCTTATAAAACATAGTGACTTCACTTTGCCTTCTTTTTGACACAGAACTTGCCTCATCTTCAGCTTATTTTAATTTTGAAAAATCCATTTAGTATGAAAGCAAGAGGTCCTTTCAAACCTAATTGGAAGTACAGTGGCAATCTGAGGTCCCCTAGTGCTGACTTAGCATGACAGTATATAGCCTGCCTTACCCTGCTGCCATCTCTGCACTTTGAGCATGTAAGGCAGCATAGCTTGATGCCTTAAGTTTTAAGTTTTTCTGTTCTGCTTGGGTGTGCTTTTCTGATGTTCTAGGGTGATGGAGACAAAACAGTCCTATTCCAGTTAAGAACTCAAGGACAATTTCTTCAAACTTCAGGCCCTAAGCATAAGCAATGTGGAAAGAGGAGGGTGAGTTCATGCAAATGAACCAAAACCTATAAAAATGTGAGATTTTGTGACCAAGCTCTCCTTTGCTTCCATCTTGGAGCCATCCAGGCAGGGGCCACGACTGTGGCACTGATACTACTAGGGTGTGGCCTTTTGTAGGCCTCTCAGTAAATACGCATTTTTTTCCCCTTAACTCTGTGTATAACCTGTCTTCCAGCTCCTCTAGGCATCAGCTTAGTAGACCATTTGTGGCGTTGCCTCTTACAGTCATACAGTCATCTACAAAATGGTTTATTTCCAAGGTAAAGGATTTACTTAAAAACAGTCTGCCTTTCCCTTCATAAGAAAACCCAAAAACTTGATCTTCAGCTTTGCTGCGACTGAGTTCCTACATGGTTGTTGTAAACTTACCATGTAATGAGAGTAGTTTTCTTCTTTCTCTTAACCAGAAATGGCAGAACTGCTCTCAATCACTTAGCATCAAGACTTTCCAGCTCACCTTTTTAGTTAATAAAAAATGAAAGTTCTTTAACAGATGACCTCAACAAAATAATTTCTGTCTATTAACTGTATGCAGCTTGTGCACATGTTGTCTAACAAAATGCATGTTCACAGATTGATACAGGTCATATAGATGTTTTGTGTTTTTAAACTCCCTGATATCATCATGATGAACTGAATTATGGTGGAAAATCCTCCTTTTTGCATCTGCAAAGAGAAACTACTTCTTAGGGTAAGTATTTATGTAGTTTAAGAATGGAGGGAGATCAGAGCAGCTGTGGTCTTGCATGGAGACAGGATTTGGAGGACCTGCTCTGGTTTTTGTATTCCCTTCATGCAGTGAAACTATTGATCTCCCTCTCTTTTTCTCTCCAGAAGGACGGTTCTTTTGATAACTGTGTTGTGCTGCTGCAGTAGTAGCCACAGTTGGCTCTGCTGTAACTCTTCATGCCAGTGGGAGGGTTCAGTTCCCTCTGTGCTTTCCCACTTTATGTCCCATAGTCGGCTATGTACTGAGGAAAACATGGATTTTATCAAGGAGAAGGGAAGCTTCAAAGCAGCTGAAATATATTAATGTGTTTTATTTGTTTTATTTTTTTCTCAGCCTGATAGTGCATATCAAGGGGGAGTATTTTTTCTCACAGTACACTTTCCAACAGACTATCCTTTCAAACCACCAAAGGTAAGTCCTTTCTTTTAAGGAATGAAAGGTTTTTGGTCAAAGTTTATTCTTTGAGGCTTAATTTTGGAAGTTAAACCAGAAAGGTGAGCAAGGTGTTCATCATGGATGAAGCTAAGACTGTGAAAAAATTGTGTTGGCAGATCTGATACAACTGGAAAGAAAGGGATGATGTTAAGGATTCTAAATGTAATAACCCTAATCTGATGTTATTTGTGGTTTTTTTATTACAGATTGCTTTTACAACAAAAATATATCACCCAAACATAAACAGTAATGGGAGTATTTGTCTTGATATCTTGAGATCACAATGGTCACCAGCTCTGACTGTTTCTAAAGGTAAACTCACTGATTTGATAATGCATTTATGAAGCTGCATACAGTGCCATGGCACATTTTGTGTATTATTGCACTGTCTTAAAGGTTGCAGTGGGAACTCATTTATTCTGCATGTTTCAGAAGAGGCAAATTCCATTGGAATTCGTGTTATGATCCAAGGTCTTATGCAGTTTATTGGGAGTGTCATATTACAAAAAAAATTGTGCACAGCAAAGAAATGTTCTAAACCAAGATGGGTAAGATAATAATGTACAATCAGCCTGAAATGTGATAGAAGACTGAGCGTGCTGAATGGAGGACAAACTGATGAACAGGGCTTCAAAATCACAACATGGAAGTAAATGTAAAACCCTGATACTGACATTGTGTGAGCTTACATGATTGCCTGTTGATGATTCTTTGGGTTGCCTGAGCATCCTTGTGTGGACTAAGGTCTTAATTACACTTTATTTTAAAATAAGATCATTTATTCTGGTTTGCATTCCTTTGTAAGATGAATATTTTAAAATGTAGCTCCTTTCACAGTCATCAGTAAAAGATTTATTAAAATATTCTCATCCAGTAGTTAAACTTTCTCAAAATTTGAGTGCTGTAGAAATTTTGGAATATTGACTTAACAGTTAAGCAGTTCTTTTGTTGCAGGCATTTTGTTTCACTTCAAAAGCTGCTTAAAATGTGGTTGCTGTTGTTTCTCCTCACCCACCTTCAAAATGCTAAGGGACATAGTCATATTACAGAAATTTCTCATGTTACTCAAAAGGGCAAGCCGTATCACATCTTATGTACTTAGGAGCTCTCCAAGCTATGTGCATTGGGTGTACAAGCAAAGAAAAAACTGTGGGTCTTTGTCCAGTGGAAATTGCTCTGTGCAAGTCCAGTTGCTGTACCTCCTTGGTAAAACAACTCATGCTTACAGCCCTGTGCAGTAATCTCACAAGCCATATAAAATCTAAGTCTAATTCTGCTTTCTGAAGTCATTGCTAAGGACTTCAATTACTCTTATGTGTAATTGGTATAATTTTTCCACATTAATTAGTTGTTTTATAGCTATCCAAAATTTCTCTTGTTTCTAGTTATTAAGCACTTAAGTTTTATATTTGGCATCTACAACTGAATACTGATAAAATTTTTAGATCTTCAGCATTTTTCTATCTTTTTACTTGTTGAGCACTTATTTTGTTATAAAGTGGAGTGGTCTGCTGATCTCATGTTCAGATATTATGTGCTTTTAATCTGCTTACATATTATTTATTTCATAAACTAGAAAGTAGCTCAGTGACTCATGGAAGTTTCTCCTTTCTCGTCTTCATTTGACTGAATCAGAAGTTTACAGCATATTATAGTACCTCTGACCATGTGTGTGACCATGTATTCTAACCTGATTTTCTAATATTACTGGCACTTATAACAAAATAAGTCAGTATTGAAGTGGCTGAACTTTCTACTCCTGAAAATAGGTATGGACTCTTGAGTTGTTACTCAAGATAAAGCAGGGGGAAGAAAGATATTCTGCAGTTGATTCTTATGGTAGCATGAAGTTCCCTTTCACAACATATTTAGAATTATTTAACTGTGTACTCTTGTATGCATATTAGTTCTGGCCATAAAAATAGAAATTGCCTGAAAAGTATGGCCTGAAAATGATAGGGAAAAAAATTATATCTCCTTGGTTCAATACCAGGAAATTAATATGAAATTCTAAGTGAATACCTGTATTTAATGTTGATCAAGTATTTCCCAAAATGGAAGTCACACTTAAGTAAAATGTTCTCATGATTGAGATAATAACTGTCAGCACTGAAGTGGAAAAGGATATGCGAAAATAGAGTACAGCATGACAATGTAATATTAATATTAGTTACCTTAACTGCAGATGGAAAGCTTAGTTTGAGCAAATATCTATGTGTAATTGTGTAGTCTGTAGTTTGGCTAATGTTCCTAAGCTAGGATGTGGGAGAGAGAATCATTACAAAAGATACGGGTTCATGGTTGCAAATTCCCTAGGCTTGTATCAGGTGTTTACTTAGGCCCTAGGAAAATGATACTGTATAAACATTTCTAGACAGAACTGTTAAATGATAGCTTAATACTAATATGTGTTCTTTTTCCAGTACCCTACTACAACACTCCCTCAGTGTACTGGAATATATTAAAGGATTATAGAAATAAAGCAAACTAACTTGTTTAATCTAGTGTCTCTTTTATTTAGTTTTATTGTCCATATGCTCCTTACTTTGTGATCCTAATCCAGATGATCCTTTAGTACCAGATATTGCACAGATCTACAAGTCAGACAAGGAAAAGTGAGTATAACATACATAATTGTGTGTGTGGTACTTGCAGATGGCTATCTGCTATGCACCTTAAATATTAATTTTAGCAATTCTCTCTTCCTAGATTTCTATGGGATTAGCTCTTTAAATATTGAGAATAGCTATAGCAAGTAAAAAACTGTAGGCATGCACAACTGCTGGTAACTAATTTTTTTGTACTTAGTTTGTGTAACATCTTAGATTTACTGCATGACAAATTATTTTCCCAAATATGAGTTATTTGTCGCTACTTCAATCCTCTGGTTGTAAAACCTGTACCAGAAGAATTTTTGAATAACAGACTGAGTTGTTTGGTACCCATTTTTTAGTGTTGAGGCGTTGAAGACTTTTCAGTGTATACAGTCGCCTGTGGCTCATCACATGTCACAGATTCAGGAAGATTTGAGTATTGCTTTTATCTTGAGCAGTAGACAGCAAAGGAGTGATGTAGAAGTTACATGGACATCTGTGGTCCAGTATTTCTCTGCCTAGACTAAGAATTATTATAATGGCATTTTTCTCACAGGTCAATGCCTGGTATTGCAAATCATGTAACTTCTAAAGTGCTTGAATGCTGTAGCTCATTTTGCAAAGTAGATAGTGTTCGAGTTGAGGATGTGCAGCAGCTTCTCCCCATTTGTGGCTCAACTTTTTTCCACCCACCTACTTATTAGTGATTTCAGCTGTTGTGCCGCCTGTTTGTGAAGGAAGTAAATGAGGGATGGTTTTCTATCTCCAAATCTCAAAATTTAATAATTACTAGGGAAAGTGACAAAATATGTAGCCTTGACTACAGCTTTATCTTCTTATGATGATCACCTATTAATTTTTTTTTGTTTTATCTTGGATGTAGGAAATGAAAGATATGGCTGGTTCCTCCTGAGCATTTATCTATGAGTATTTTATTATAAGTTAAGATCCAAAGACTTGTATGGTAGCATATCCTTAAGAAGAAAACCAATTAGTATATAAGTTGCTATACTGATCTTAAGAAAAAGAGGTAAAAATTTGTCAACCTTTTTTCTCTGGATGACTCAAGAAAGTGAATCCAGTCTGAAGAGTAGAATGTAGCAAATGTAAAGACCAGAGCGGGAGCTATCAACTCTCTAAAGACATTTACCCTTAAGAGTATGGAATTATAAGATAATCAGATTCATACCAGAAGGAAAAGACCCAAGACTTAAAATCTTGTAAAAGATGCTTTTCAGAAAGTTTTCTTTTTGAGTTCTGAAATGCAGCTGACAGTGCAGAATGGAGAATAAAATCCCAGTTAATTATACTGAATTTTATGGCACTAAAATGTGTAAACTTTGTTAGACTCTTAAAAGCATATGCCTTTGGGAGTAATTGACAACAAATTCCTGTTAAGGTGCAAATAAAGGAACCAGTTGTGAAACACAAATGAACGATGCTATGCAATTTAATGCAAATCTGTGAAGTTTGGTTTGAGTCTGAATAGCTCTGATATGTGATCTTAGAAACTGAATGTGTAGTAGGTATATAATTCTTGGCTTTTAGACTGTTTTAGTGTTCTTTGACTCTGCTCAGAGGTGAAAAGCTCAATAACACCTATATTAAGTAAATATGTGGCCATTGCAATGTATCACTAACAGCTCTTCACTGTAATGCCTTCTTTCTGCACGTACAGATACAACAGACATGCGAGAGAATGGACTCAGAAATATGCAATGTAAATTTTTGAAGACATTTTCATATACCACAGAGTACTGTAAATTCTAGGTTTTTTCAAAATTAGAAGGAAATGGAGAACAGTTTATGGCTTCATTGTGACACCCCTTGAATTTTTTTTCACCCATGTAAGTGTGTTTCTGGAACAAGAGAGAACAAACTTCCAAAAATAAGCTTATGACTTTGATAAGAATATTTATCTTCTTTGTATGCTTTGCAGAAGACATTTATTATAGTTTCTGAGAGTTGGACACCTGCATCTTCAGACTACGAGATCTGTAATTCAGTTGTAAATCAATGAAATTGTTTTTGATGGAAAAAGTAGCTGTTTTCACGTGATGAATACTGTATGTGTGTCATTGAAGTATATTGTCTGTTTCATAAGTATGTTCAAGTTTCTTTTTGTTAGTTCTATTATATAATTTGTATTTTTTACTGTATAGACTATTTTATTTACCATGTAAGTCATTTCATTTTAGACTTGCTTGTGCACAGTATTGACAAGATACAACTGCTAATAGTGAAAATCATTGGACTATCTCATGCATTAGAATATTCTGAAGACTACAGACTTCTTAAAACATAAAATGGTCCTTGCACTGTAAATCTTTGTATGCTGGCTATGGAGAAACACTTGGTTTTGATTCTGTTGCATACCTGACTTAATTTTATCGCAATGTGAACTAATTGCACTGGTATGTAGAAAGATACATAACTTTTGTTGCTATTCACAATTGATTTTTGACGTGTGGGCAACATAATGCTCTCACAGACCTTTTACAAATCCAGATGTAGCCTTTTCCATATAAATAAAATACATTTTCTACTTTCTTTGTCTATTTTTGTATCTTAACTCATGCATATCTTTAAAGTACTTGTTCTAACATTCTAACAGAGAATTGCCAGTAGCACGTGTATGTTGTGGTAGACAGAATGTCCAACAAAGCCATGCATCATGTACTACTTAGAACTGGATTGCAGTCAATTTGTGCACTTGCTCTAGCCTAGTGGATTTAACGTACTATGCTGTTGTAGCCTGGATGGCTGCTAACATGGTCAATGGTAAAGAGGCAGGAAGGGCCTTTGTATGGGTTCAACAGAGATGTTTATTTCAGCCACACACGTGGATAGTCCGGGGTCAGAGGCAAAGGGAAACCTCGTGGTGAGGGTCCAGGTTCAAGTACATGGGTGTTTGGGGCGGGGGGAGGATCAGAGACCAATTACCATGGGACATGAGGGTGGCAAAAAGGTGGGGTTAGGGCATGGGAGCCAACAGGGAAACAGGGTGGGAGTGACCAAAAGACTGAGGGATAAGGACCAGGCACAGGACTGACCTAGGGAACAAACCAGGGATACATTGGCATTTGCTATGAGAGAAGCCTCTTCTGTCTCCCTAACTAGGGAATGCCTCTTTGGGTGTCCACACTATGCCCATTGTTGGATATAGGATTTCAAAATTGTTAATGCCATGCTACACCAATATTCATCTATGGAGGAGATAATCACAGGAGTCTGTTACGGTGGTGTATTTGCAATATCAAAATGTTACAGTCAACTCACACTTGAAAGTAATTTTTCTCCTCACACTTGAAAGTAACTTTTCCATTAATATGCACTTCAGTTGTTTCAGACTATGTATGTGGAAAACCAGTAGTGCTGGAGAGGGGCAATCTGTTCTTAAAACATAAAAAGTAGAAAAACTCTTGATTTTTCTGCCATTCATTCTTCTTGCTTATTTGAAAATTTAAAAAAAAAGATGACAAAATGTTTGTATCTTGCACATGAAAGTAAAATTACTTTCAGTTGGGAAATTTGTCATCATAAAATGCATTTTTAAGATGGCAGATATATTTGATTTGGGTTTTGTTTGTTTGTTGTTGTTTTTTATTCAAATATGCATCAAACTGGAATGTGGACTATGGGGGGTAAGCATGCACAGTAGGAACTTTTATTCCTACCAGTGGAATATAAACTTCATGTTTACTGATTTACTGACCTTAAACTGGTCACATGGGAAAATGTAATTTCTGTGCTAGTTTTATCTGTGATGTAATGGTGACATTTGGAACAGCAGCTTGTAATAATCTTAAAATAGCCCTGTTCACTACATTTTGCAAGATGAATAAAAGGATTTTTTTTTTTTTTTTACTGAATGCTTCATTATACTTGAACTAGGGCAATGTAGCTAGGAAGGCAAAGACGTCATTTATACTTCTTGCTCAAATGATTGTAGAAAACTGACCATTGGAATGTGTTCACAGTTGGTTTTTTCCTAGGTAAAAATAGTGTTCTGTTTGTACTTAAATTTTTGGAATATCTGCAGTGAACTGTGAAATCGGAAATTTGACTTGGTTTCTTTTAGTTTATCCATTTGTGTTAGGGATGGTTTGAAAACTTTTATACTTTAATGTTTCTGCTTTGTGCCATGCATGGAATGACTTTCCACCACAGTGTGAAACCAGCAGGAGGATTGAAAACCAACAGCGAACACCCGTACGTAACACGTGTTAATCATATGTAAATATTAAAAAAGGAAATTGTTTTATGATCATGCTGGTTTAGAGGTGTGAAGTTAAGTCTTTGATTTTTGTGATAATCCTAGCAGTTCAGCCTTTCTGCTTTTGAAATTATCATAATGAAATGATAAATACATTATTTAAAACTTCAGTCAAGCTATGACGTGGCTGTGTTTAATCTGTGGAAACACCTCCATTACTGCACCTTCAGAGCTCCTCCGTTAATGCTTTTTATACAAATTCTGTTTCCAGGGCTGAAAAGTTTACTGTATTCTGTGCTCTTTACTACGATGGGGGGGGGACAGTACATCTTCCTTTTTCCCCGAGAACTGGTCGGAGTTGTGGCGTCTGCTATTTCAGACACAGCTGCGCCCAAAAGCTTGACATTGCGAAGGAAACAGCGAAGCCGCGGGGTTAGTTTTTGGCCATACCTCATCACCAGATAGTTACTTAGTCCCCAGTTGGTTTCTGATCTCTGTTACAGTTTCTGCCTGCGGGCGCACACACTAAACCCGCCCGCCAGCGGTTCGGAACCTCGTGTGCCCGGGGGGCCGGGGCCGTAGGGGTCACCTTGTCGCGGTTGCCCTGGAACCGCCCCTCTCGCCGCTCTCCCAGGGTGCTACGCGCCTTTCGCGCGCAGGCGCGGCGCATCAGGATGGCGGTAGCTGCGGCCTTGCTGGGCCGGGCCGCGGGCTTGGGCCTGGTCACGGCCACGGGCGGGCGGCGGCTCCTCCTCCGGTGTGGGACGGGAGCGGGGCTGCGCGAGCGGGGAACGGGGACCCTCCTCGACGGTACTGTTGTGTGTAGGGCCGGAGGTGCGGCGGAACAGTGCCTGTCTCGGGGGATTAGTTCGGATCAGCGCCCGAAGCGGCCCCTCACTGCCTATCTTCGTTTTGTGATAGACAACCGTCCGGCTTTTAGGGAGAAGAATCCAGGTACGAGGTTTGAGGGGAGGTGGGCCCACGGTTGGCACTGTTGGGCGCCGGGGCTCCGATACCTTCGCCCCCCAGAGCCGGGCCACGGCCTGCGCCCCCCAGAGTGGAGTGAGCCAGGAAGCCTAAACAACCCGTGCCTTTGTAAAACCGAACTTCAGGAACGATCTAAAAGACGTGATCTCAGAGACCCAACCCGTATGTGTATCCGTACCATTTCCCAAGTTAATCCAGCATGGCCATACTCATTGCCTGCACGTGCCTGCTTGGTCTTCCGTGCTTCATAAGTCAAAAAAATGAACGCGTATGTAACTTTAAAAATGCTTGATGAAATACCTCACCTAGGTAATACATGATAACAATGATTTACGATTCTCAATTATTTTTGGACTCTATTATTTGAAGTCAGTTTTGCTGATATTATGAGCCGTGTACGATTTTATTTTAAGGCTTAGTAATTAAAAAATTTCAGGTACTGGATTGCATCATTGTATATGAGAGAAAAAGTAAGTGTATTTAGAGGAAAATGGTTTTCTGTGAATGTTTGATTTACTGTTAGAAACTTCACTTACAGGCAATGCAGTGACTCTTGCCGGAGAGCTGCAGACTAGAAAGATATGCTCGTTTTGAAAGACTATTGAAGGTGTTATAAATGAGAGACAAAAGTCTCGATATTCAGCAAAATTTAGATTGTTTTATTTGATATAGAAAGAGCAAGCAGCACGCTGGGGAACATGAGGACTCACCGCCCACTCCACTCCCCACCGAACCTTGGTTTGCAGCCTCTTCTTATACTGTGGTTTCTTGTTATAATCAATAATTTTGGGGTTTTTGTTGTCATAAGCAGTGGTGGTTGAATAAACACCCTTACACAAATTCACAAAGCCTCCGGGCGATAATCAGTCACAGATAGCCATCTGGTCCCTGTAGATAACCACCAGAGAAGTTCTGGGAGTCTGGTCCTTGAGATAAGCAGGATTGATCAGACAAAGGCAGGAGGGGCTATTGGGAAGTCTGCTTTTGCAAGCTGGTAGCCGATACAACTTATTTGGAAAACATAACATAATATAACATAATGTAACATAATACAACACAATATAACATAACAAGGTGATTTTAAACAGAATGATTTTATCATATAATTTCCTTTATCTAGTGTCCATGCTTCACTTCAGAGCTTAGTATTTTGGTTTATACAAACCCCAATGCTTTTGTGATTAACACGAATCTTTTATCAATTATCACAAAGGTTAAAATGTTTAAAGAATTATGGTCATATTGGGCAAATGCTGAGGAAGATTTAAGTAGGAAAATCCATTTGATACTCTGTTTAGCTTACCAGTTCAGGAGTTGCACACTCATAGGTTGGTGACTGAACTATCAGAGTATATTGTAGATACATACCACACCAGTGTTTTCTACATTTCCAAAATTTGAATAATCTATAAGTAAACATACTGGATCTTATATACAAATTGAGAGTTTGGGTTTTTCTTGTTCCAAGAGAGGTAGTGGTCAAAAATAACTCAATTATTTATTCTATTTTATCAATTGTCAAAGCATCATGTTTTCAAAGGTTTTAAGGTTGATCTACTTGCAGTAAAAGTTTCCAGTTGCCTTGCTTTTCCAGAATTTGGAAAGTTAGGTCACTGAGAAGAGTTTAGTTATGTTTTTCCACTATTGAGGTAGCTGAGCTTTATGTCTAGGGGGAAGAAGCAGCTCATCTGTTTTTTCTTTTATTGTGAAGTAGAGGGGAAGCCTGGAAAGGATTTTTCAAGAAAAGAAAACCTTATATCCTCTTTGTTCCACACTTGGGTTTGTTTGGAGTTTGCTTCGGGCTTTTTTGTGGTTAGTTGGTTGGTTGGTTGGTTTTTAATTATTCTTTTCCCCTTCGCAAATTCAAGTCTGGCTGGAGGCCTTGTCAAATCACCCTGGTGCAAGAGCCAGTCAGCTGAAAACCAAAGTAAAGTCACTAATTTTGTTCGTTCGAGAAGGAAATTGCTTTTTTAACTTCGTTTGGATATTATTGTAAGTAAAGGATAATAAAATCAAAGTATATGAAGTGGTTATACTTGAGTGAAGAATTCAGCAGACTCTTTTTGCTAAAAAACTTAGAATTGGAAATTTTACTTCTGGTGTCTTCCCTGCTCCCCCCTCCAAATCAGACTATCTTGCATTGTATAGGAAAGATCCAGCTCAAAAATCAAAAAACATGAAATTGTTGTGGAGTAATAATAGCTGCCTTGAAATGGTGCTTCAGTTTATAACTACATGTTGTGTTCCAGGTGAGCAGTGACTCTTTCCCATCCTCTAAATATTGTATTGCCCTTTAACTGCTACAGCGAGTTAGTTTTATGAAAGGACAAAATGCATTTGTACAGGA